CGCGCCACCCACGGCCCCAGTGCTGACCCTGCCCTCCCTCACAGCCCTCATGTGGCTCCCCAGCAGCCCTGGGAGAAGTCCCAAGTCATGCAGCCTAATAGCCAAGGCCCTGCATGCTCTGGGCCCCACCTTCCTCTGCAGTGTCCCATCTCACTGTACCCCCCCAAACCAGATGCCTCCCCGGTCCCCGAAGGAGCCCTACTACGATGCCTCCGGGCTATGCCTTCTTTCTGGCACAGCTTCCTTCTCTCAGCAGCCCGGAATGTTCCTCCTCACCATGCAAGATGTCAAACATCGCTTCTTTAGTATTGCTCTGCCTTGTCTCCTCTCTGTCCCCGCAGCCCCCACCCTGGCTCAAACCCATCATCTCCCAGATCCTCCCTCCTGCCAGTAACGCACACGATGCTACGCCCAGAGATGACCCTGTCTTCCCCACTCTTACAGCCCTCCCGTGGACCCCCAGTATCCGCAGGCAGAGTCCCAGCCCCTCAAACTGAATATCGCAGAATTTATTCATCTCTGTCATTCACGACAGGGATCCATCAACTCTTTCACACCAAGGCCATGCTGGAGACCCAGAGATGAGTCCAGTGTGAGCCCTGCCCTGAGGGAGGCCAGGGAAACAGATGCACAGGAAAATAATACACAGACTTTTCCTCTCCGGCCCCTCCCCCTGCCCTGCCCACCAAGGGCCCAGAGAAAGAACAAAGGTGCCACTGTTTGGAGAAGGCAGGACCCAGAGAGCCAAGTGGTGGCGGGGCGGGCCCCCTGAGCTGGGGGATAGCAGGAGGAAAGACTGAGAGGGGAGCACAGGAGATGTGGTTGGGGACAGGTGGCCGGGAGGGGGTGGGGCGGGACTGAGGCTAGGAGGCCAGCTGAGGGACTAGGACTTTATCCTGGGGTGACAAGGCACCAGGGAGGGCAGGGAACAGGGGAGCGGTGGGGTCAGTGTCAGGTGTGGAAAGAGCCCCTGGGATCGGAGGGGAGGCTGGAGGCTGGATGAGGGTCCAGGTGGAGGAGGACGAGACCTGAGCGGGGGGGAAATGTGGTTACGGGACGGGGCAGAGAGAGTCGGGGACAGGAGGAATCAGGCTTGGGGCTGATGAGCCACGCGGCTGCGGA